GTTTCGGCCACACATAGACTTCGATGATACGCTTTTCTTGCATGAAATTATATTGATGATTCTTTGCAAAAAATAATTAATACTCCGTATAAGTTTCATGTAACAGAACCAACTAGTTGGGATTAGGGCGATGATAATGGTGTCACACTTTTACTTCGAAGTATTGTGGAAAATGTAAATTTGACTAACTATGAAGAACCGGAACATTGTGTACTGCTTTTTGCATATGTTAGAGGTCTACTTGGAGCAAGAACTTGTGAGTTTTTTTGGTACATAATACTACCCCTTGTGTTTATTTGGTAAACTATATGTTACATTTTGAGTTAGCTAGCTTAGTTTGCTGTTTCGTTTAACTGTTATTTATTAGTGTCAAATTCATCAACCAGGGAAATATATAATCTAGCACATCATCACCCAATGGTAAACTCTGTTATTTGTGTAAGCTACTTTCAAGGATAGAAGATGAAATTCTATATTTCTTCACTGATTATCCATGAAGTGGAGTACCAGGATTCATCTAAAATATTGTGGATCAACTAACTGATATTATACTTATATCTTATAAGTTACTCATGTGAATTTGCTCGTATTATAACTTTGCCAGGTTCCAGGTGAAAAAGAAGCAATTCTTCCGCAATATCTCAACTATTATGCTTTTCGGAGCAGTTGGCACTTTGATATCCTTTATCATCATATCATTGGGTAAGCATGGTTACTCTTTTTGCAGTTTAGAATTAATTAGAACAGTTTTCTTGTCACATTTACTTAACTGGTGTTGCTCAGCAGTCAGCACTTGATCTATTAGGAACACAACATTCTGCAGAGTTCTTTCATGAAACTGGGATAGCCATATTAATGTACATGTAGAAACTAGAAAGTAGAAACACATTGTGCAGAGTTCTTTCATACTTGTTCGTTTTATAATACATTTTCCCCACTATATATAACCAGGAGCTATTGGCATCTTAAAGAAAATGAGTATTGGCAATCTTGAGATAGGGGATTATCTTGGTAATCCTATCCTTTTCACAAGTCTTTTTTTTTAAATTAAAATGGTGCAATGTGTCTTCATGAAGTTGCATTTTTATCAACCCGTGTTTTTGTGTATCCAGCAATTGGAGCAATTTTCTCTGCAACAGATTCTGTATGCACACTGCAAGTAAGTGTGTCGCTATCATGCCTTATGGAGGTCGGAGCACTAAATATTTTTCAGTCGTTCTCACGTACTTGTTTGATATTCAGGTACTCGATCAGGATGAAACACCTTTACTCTACAGTTTAGTCTTCGGAGAAGGAGTTGTAAACGATGCCACATCTATTGTCCTATTTAATGCAGTTCAAAACTTCGACTTGTCCAATATAAACTCTGCTGTGGTTCTGCAATTATTCGGAAACTTTTTTTATTTATTTATCTTGAGCACTCTCCTTGGAGTTTTTGTGAGTTTCCGACTCCTATAGCATGGAATGTAAAATATTTTGCTTCAGTGGTGTATGTGATCCTAATATCTGATTTTGTTCTCCTTCAGGCTGGTTTGCTGAGTGCATTTGTTATTAAGAAGCTATACTTTGGCAGGTTTGGATATAAATTCAGTTGTAAATTGTGGTTTAGAAAGTCAATTGTAGGTCATCTGTAAGTACCAAAGCTTATGTCTGTGAGGGTGAAAGATGACATTATGAATATGCTCTTTAAACAAAGAGAAGTGATGTACGTTGTCTCAGTACAAATTATATAGAGGTGGTCTATGAAAAAGAGATCTCAAAACGTCTAGTAGTTAATAATTTGTTATGCTGTTATTTTTTTTTTGACAAAACAAAAGCTCATAGCTAAAAACCTCATATGGTGTAGGCACTCCACTGATCGTGAGGTTGCAATTATGATTCTTATGGCGTATTTGTCATATATGCTCGCTGAAGTAAGTGTTTTTAAATGCACCCATCATTTTCAAATTTAATTTCATCTTATTTGTTTAGTAATTTGGAAATACTAACGTTTAAATGTTTAATACTTTGCAGTTATTTGCTTTGAGTGCCATCCTGACAGTCTTTTTCTGCGGGATTGTCATGTCACACTACACTTGGCATAATGTCACCGAAAGTTCTAGAGTCACCACCAAGTATGCCCTCTATAACTATCTGTAAATTCTGTAATAATTTTTGGCAGTCTTTCTGGATCTGTTTTTCCTGAGATTTAAATAGTTGTAAATACTCCCTTTAAATATTGTACTCAATTTTTTGTGCAGGCATGCGTTTGCTACATTGTCATTTATTTCTGAGATATTTATATTCCTTTATGTTGGCATGGATGCTCTAGACATTGAAAAATGGAGATTTGTAAGTGACAGGTATGTTTATCATCATTAAAAAACTTTTTCACCATGGTGTATACTTCCTATGTCCCAAATAAAAGAGTCATGTTTGAGCAACGAGCTAGTTGCAAGTTTTTACCATCTGGATGGTCACTTATACCCTTAACACTTATTTCCAAGATCATTTAGAATAGTTGACTAAAATCATTTGCCGTTTGGCTTTAGACTTTAGAGCAATTTGTACTTAAACGTGAAAGCTAACTTTTTAAAACATGACTCCTTTTTGAGATTTTTTTTTGGGACAGAGGGAGTACTATTTGTTGAGGTTTTAGATTTTTGCTGGATGAATGTCTAACTTTAATATCATTTTGCCAGCCCGGGAACATCAATTAAAGTAAGCTCAATACTTTTGGGTCTGGTTTTAGTTGGAAGAGCTGCCTTTGTATTCCCTTTGTCATTTATATCCAATGTGACTAAGAAGTCCCCGGGTGAAAAGATTGACATAAGACAGCAAGTACGTGTTTCATAAAGTATCTGTTCTCGCTTACTAATCTAGTGTTATTATATGTTCAGCTGATATATTTCTTTGCATTACAGTTTATTATATGGTGGGCTGGGCTAATGCGAGGGGCTGTATCTATGGCTCTTGCTTATAACCAGGTCAGATGATTTGCTATTTGTGTTCTGGTGAATTGTGGTGTCTAATGTTGCTGATGGGGGATAAACATGAAAAAAAACTAGCAATTCTAGTTGTGATCATGCTACATTTCAGTTGTTCCCCATTATCATGCTACCTTTCCTTTTATAGCCTCAACCTTACCATTGTTCCCATTATATCATGCTCCCTTTCCTGTTATGGCCTCATTAATATTGGGACACTTTTGCAATTTGTCCTTGAGTTCATTTTTTCCACTTCTTAGAGAAAAAGTTTAAGGAACCGACATGACATGTGACAATAAACAATTATTAGTTGAATGGGACCCACATGAATATATTTCAACATTTATTAATGTGGGTTCATTAGATTGTGCCCCCATAAGCTTCTAAGAAGGGCTCCCATGATCCCATCAAGTGCATGCCGATTGTTATCCTTTCAACTCTTGACGCTTTGTGCCATTAGTCTGGCTAAATGTGACTGGAAAAACCTCTTGCCGAAAAGAAAGGGATCTATAAATGTACAACTTGCCTCTTAAGTGAAATATTGTGGTCACATTTGGCAGCTTGAAAAAAATGAAAAGTAGCAAGAACTGAATGTTCTTACACCATAAGTGGGATACAAATGAAAGTGGGGGACAGAAGCTGGGAGTGACTTAGTATTTGCGGGAGAGAAAGTGGGAGTGACCTTGTAGTTGTGGGACTAAATGATGGAACCAATCTTATATTCACAACTTTTGGAGGGGCTCTGTTTCTTACATTTTGAAATGAACATGTGCAGTTTACAAGGTCTGGATACACCCAGTTACGTGAGCATGCAATAATGATCACAAGCACTATAAGCGTTGTTCTATTTAGCACAGTGGTAAGGCAATCTCATCTTCTACTCACATTCTGCATTTGATTATCATGTCATCTTCGATATTTTGACTTTCAATAACTAAGAATGGGCCCATCTTTACAGGTTTTTGGCCTGATAACCAAACCTTTGATCAGAATATTGCGGCCCTCACCAAAACACCTAAGCAGAATGATATCTTCGGAACCAGTGTCACCAAAATCATTCACTGTTCCGCTTCTTCTAAGCCGGGAGGAGGGTTCAGAGGATAATCTTGGAGGAGGGGGGCACGTGCCCCGTCCACCCAGTTTGAGGATGTTGTTGGCAACCCCGTCTCACACCGTCCATCACTACTGGAGAAAATTCGATAATGCATTCATGAGGCCCGTCTTTGGCGGGCGAGGCTTTGTCCCGTATGTACCTGGCTCACCTACTGAACAGAATGACCCTCAACAGTGGCACTGAGTAAGAAGGCTATGCCCGTTCATCTGCCCTGCCTGCCTGTCCATGCTTTTGACATGGAAAGAAAGTTTTTGTTGTGCTTTTTTTCTTGTTTATATTTTTTGGATGATGGTATTAGGGTGAAGATTTTGTAAATGGGCAATTAGATAGATTGCGTGCTTATTCTAATATGTACTACATATGTTTTTTTTAAATTTTAGTTGATGAGGCTTACTCTGGGCGATGCTTACCAGTTCATTTACTGTAAAGGTGCTAATTGTTCCTAGTTTCCTACTCTTGATGATTCTGTAGAAAATCACGGAAGGGTGTATAGATTATGTTTTATGTATCCCCGAGCACTTCTTACTCTTAACGGCATTTATCATTTACCCTTCTTTGATACTTTGCATAGGTGTCCGGTGTCCCTTTGGTGATCTCTGATTAACGCTTATCATTTTTGGAACTCATAATTTTTCACCAGGTCTGATTTTTTCTGTTACGAATTTATGATGATTCGATTGATTTATACTCCATACTAAATTCTTAATAGCAATGAAAACTGAATATGAATGCAACGTGTCCTTTGTAAACAGATTTTCAAGTACATTGGAATAAAATGACATTTCGAACTAAAGTATACAAGTTCAGCTAGTTCAAATGTTCAATAACTTGAGTCATTTCTTCGAACATCACCTTTGAGTTGGCTTTTACAAATTACAAATGACATTTGGAACTTCATTGTACAAGTCGTAAGTATGAGCCCATCTCAAAGATCTTGGGATTTAATTAACTGTGATATGATGAAGATTTAAAGCTTCTCTTCTCAAGTAACATAAGTTACAATTTCAAATAAAGGAAATGACAATTCAGACATCTTGGACACTCACCAAACATGCTTTAGATTGAAGGATTAACTTATTCTGATAATTTCTTTATAGATATTTATGCTATGACCAATATCATAAAATATGAACGACAAAATGAAAGAACTGCGGATAATTTAAATACTATGTATATTAATATAAAGAAAAGTAAACCCTATTGTTAAGATATAATAACAATCTTCTCTTTCTGTTGAACATAACAAAGATATCTTCATTCAATGTTGGATTTGGAGAGCATTTTGCTGTTAGGGGCATTTGACTATTCGGAAACTCAAGGAAGAACACATGATACCCATTGGCACTAAGACCGTAAGAGGAATCCCACTGTTAAACCAACAAGTGCCACCATGCAAACAAATAGAGGAGGGAATCCCACTTGAACTTTCCTCGAACCAGTCTTCCTCCTCAAAAGAACCTGCCAAACACCAAAACCAGATTGTTTACAAGGAATAACACTTCTACAAAGAATGAATTATTAAACAATCTGACCCATTAAATTATCCATAAGAGAGAGAAAGAGAGAGACCCTTTCCTGCATCAGTGTTTCCTTCTCTTTAGTAATTGCTTCCTTCTCTTGGTTTAACTTTGAAACTGTTTCTTCCGCCTATAATGAACACTCATTAGCTCCTACTACAGCCCACTCTATTACGACTAACTTTAAGTACAACAACGCAGTCTACCATCTATACCCCTGTAATTTGTACTTCATTAATTTTACCAACTCATTAATGTTATTATTGTGATGGTATTATAGGGTGAGCATAACACTATCCATACATTCTAAAGTAGTGTCCATCAAGGAAATTTTATTTTTTAAGGTAATAATTGATTTTAGAATTGACAAACATACCCTTCATTTTATAGGTATTGAAACAAGCAAAAGTGAAAAAACAAGCAAAAGTATGTAAGGTAAACTTCTTTTTACTATTTTCTTCATGGTTTACAATGGTCACTTAACAAAATGCATTTAGTTAGTGCTTAGTAGACACTCTTTTTAAGAATAAAGGGAGTGTATGGTGAGTTAACCCATTAGTCATGGTGGTCTTCTAGCATTATGTTACTACTATCTAGCAAATAAAAATAATGAAATATAAAAGAATATAATGTTGAACAATTTCTAATTAAGAAAGGAGATCAATAATGGACACCATTTAACATTTTCCTCACAACTACGAATACTGGCCATTTAGTAAGGAAAGCATAAACTTAATATAAATCCAGAAAGAAAATGTTAACCTTAATCAGCTTTATGTTCAAAACACCTAGCTTTTCCTTCAACTCCTCAATGTCTTTGGAAGATACATGTTCTGTTGTATCTACATCTTCCATGGATCTTAAACCCGCCACAAATTTTTCCTTCAACTTCTCACTGTCTTTGGGAAACAACACTTGTGCTGTTCCAACATACTCCACTGGTCTTGGCTCTACACCTAACTTTGGCTTCGACTCCTCAGAGTCCGTTTGTACAGCAGAAAATTCTACGGGAGAGAAAAAGGAAATAACATAGAGGAGAATTAGAAAGAAAGAGAACAGGGGGGGGGGGGGGTCAAAGATCGATTAAAACTCCATGAATTTTTGAAAGACGTTTTTCATCACCCTTTTCTTTTTCCAAAGTAAAACCAAACACAAGGAGATAACTTTCTTTAGAAATTTTGCTCTCCTTTGCCTAGAATTTTATGATCCAAATATACCCTCAAATCGTTTGCAAAAGGTCACTTATGTTTCTTACCCTCTGCATAACCTGGATTGACAGTTAGCTTTGTCGTCAACTCCTCAAAGTTTTTGGAAAATGCCACTCCTGTTGTTTGCATATCCCCCGCCCCAGATACTGATTCAACACCCAGCTTCGCCTTCATTTCCTCAAAGCTTTTGGAAAAGGTCACCTCTGTTGTTTCCTTTACCTCCACAGAAATTGGTTCTGCAACCTCATCTCGGTTAAGCTTAGGCTTAGGATGAGCCAAATCAACCTCCATAATCTTTCCAAACCTTGGCTCCTTCCGAGCACCAACTTCAGTATCCTCTCTCTTCTCAGTATGCTGCCACTAGTAAACAAATTCATTTTGTAATGGGAAATTCTACTTAAAGTTAGTAAGCATTGGGTTAGAAAAATCTACCACCCCTAGTGTTTAGTCAAATCGGCAAATGACCCTGAAGTTTCAGGAAATTAAAAAATAGCCCCTAGACCACTCCGATTTTACACAAATGGGACTGAAAGATGAAGCATATAATGATATTGATAGGAATTGAGTTCTCCATACCAAATTACTCCTTATATGTACGCCAGAGATTCTTTGTTAGAAAAGCATTTCAAAACAAGAAACCCAATCTGAAAACGCACAGTTCTTGTTAATGTCATTACATTCCATAAACTTTTAATGTTAAGAAAGGTCTTTGGTAGAAATGTAACTAATCCATCGGTTTAATTATAAATTTCAGAAAACATGAGGGTCTTTTTGTAATACTACAAAACCTTGGAAGGTAGATGTACTTCAATCTAAACATTTTCCTGGTTAGCATGACAATTAAGTTGCAGTGACCAATTTATCATTGTACCTCGTGAGATGGAGGAAGATTTTCAACTCCAATCTGCAACTTTTCTTTCAAAGTTGGAGAGTTGTCAGGAGAATCTTCCTTAAGAACTCCATTAACTGGCTGCAAAACTGGAGACTGTGGAGGGCTGATAAGAATGACCCTTAGCTTGTTCTCTTGGATGTACTTTCCTTTATCCTTCGTGAACTAATGAAAAAGAAACAACCATAAGAAACAATTATATAGTCTCGGTAACTGAATACTGATTGAGGTAAAAGAATTGTACCATTTCAGAAATACTTTTGTCTTCCATCTTCTCGTGGGGCACAATAGTGCTCTGAATTAAAAATTTATCCTTGCATTGCATATCAACTGGAGCAGTCCTCTGAGCTTGCATAGTAACTGCATAGCAGCAGAACAGTCAGGACAGATAGTTACTGATATGTGATAATAATAAAAAACAAGCTGATATGTAGGTATTTGAAGAAACTAGATGTATGCTTGGCACAATTAGATGAAAATCTAGATGAAAGATGAAATAGTATAGGAAAACGAGGATTAATGAAGGTAGAAGGAGATGAAACAAACAAACATGTATGGAAAAATTAGACGAAAAGACCTAAATAGATTTAAAGGAAAGCTACATCAAGTACCTTCCATTTACACTACTTTGGAAAAAAATTGTCTACAAATCAAACATAGATATGGGCAGATGAAATACCGAAATCAAATTTTATATACAGCCGAGATGAAATGCCATGCCAAACATACACTTCATGGTAGTGCAGACAGAAAATAGAACTAGGAACAATTTAGTTGTCGGTCATAAGTGCCTCCTAGAATTGAGCATTGAATTCTATTTATTATACACATAACAACAGTTAATTGTGGTGAAAGTATAGCTTGAAACATTATATATTCAAATACTTCATATGACAGAACACTTGTTGGAAATATAAAGCCACAGCACTTTCCAGTGGATAAATGTGCTTTATTCGTAATAAAGTAATGATACATTCGGTACTCCCTATAAGCAGTAGACATGTATAAGCATATTAGCAGAAAGTTTTCGGACAGAATTCTTCATAGTACTCGAAGACAGAAGGATCAGCACTTGTACCTCTGAAATTAATTGTTGAGTTTGGCTTGATGATGCCTATATTAGGTGTGACACAGTATTTTTTAGGTGACGTTGTTTTCACCTGCAAAATGAGAGGATTGGCTTTCTTACATGACATATTCAGTTAATGGAAAAAAAGGGAAAAGCATATTAAGATTCGAATACGTATGTTTCTGCTAGAAAACAGTCAAAGCGGATGATTGAGCATATGAGGGATTTTGAGCTATATGGTTTAACTAGAAAACTCTAATGAACATGAATGTGTTCCACGTATATTCACATCATTTAGTGAATAAAAGAAAATTGCTTCACCTTAAATGCTACACATTGAGCTGTGGTGTTGGTTAGAGTAACAGAACAGGAACTTTGCTTCAGCAACTCAACTGGAGCAGAAGAAATAGTATTAGAAGTTTTACAAGCATTACAATGAAAGATACAAATACATCCAATGAAAGCTTAAAATATATGCAAAACACAATCAAGGCATGAAGAGATTACAAAAAACTAGGACAAAATTGATAAAAATAGAGCCCAAGGCATTCATACTGGTATTATTCTCAAGCCATATAAAAATACATTATCCAAAGGAAAAATTACAAAAGGAATTCAAGTAATGCCTAGGTTTTCCTCGGATGATTAGAAGACCTATTTTAATTAACTTACATGTGAATTTGAGATCATGAGGTTGAATAATCAGCAAACCCGTCATTTCTTCTCACCTGAAATCACTATGATGTCAAAACACAACTACTGGCACGCAGAGAATATAACTTGATACTCTTACTTCAAAGGAGTTTCTTTGGAAACACTAAAATAGTACAGCGCAAAGCAGATTCGGCTAAAATGAAACCTCAATTTCACAATTGCAACTGAATCCTACACCAAATTGCGGTCAGATTCGGCGCAAATCATACTAAAACTAAAATCACAAGCAGAAAACAACAGTTAAAAATGTTCGTTTTACTTTTTACCCGAACGAATGTGAAATCCGCAAATAAACATTCACTTATCCCTACCAGTAACACTACATATACAGACACATGTAACAACCAAAACGACCAGAAAAGCTTCAAATGCACGACTCGCATTGTTCTCAGATCCTCAACCGCAAGTCAAAATATCAGATGTGGGATCATACAGACATAACAATGTAGATTAAAAATTTATTCGAAATACATCAACAATAAATTTTGTAGAAAACAAATTCATTAAAACTATTTCTTATTTCTTATATATGCACAAACAGTGTGATTCCACATATATATACAACATTATACTCTTAGGGTCCGTTTGGTTGGGGGTGATCTCACATGAAGGCCGGAATGTGATGCACGGAATGTTAGATACCCTTGTTTGGTTCACGGGTTTGAAAAAAAATCGGGAAAGTTACATTCCCGGGAATGTAATATGGATGGGAATCTTAAACCCGTCTATGCCTTAGGTTATCTCACATTCCCGGGGTGATCTGATTTTCTTCCGAAAATACCCTCAATTAATGATATCTTTTCATTTAATTTCTTTATATATTCAATTGTTATCAAATTTCATTTATTGTGACTTTATAAAAAATTTAATGTAGTCTCTAAATATGTAAATTTTATTTACTAAAAATAATCTTATTATTGATAGAGATCGGTTAGTTTAATTTCATGGTCTGTCGAACATCGTAAATTGTGTACTACCTTTTAGGTGGGACGGACGGACGGAGTATTGATTATATTTGAATGTCTATTCTCGTTATTTGCATAATTTTTTTCCTTATCATTTTAATTTTTTAAGGTATTTATGTTATAAGAGTTATAGATTATTTAAGTTTTGATTAGTGGATTTCAAAATTTAATAGCAAAGTTGGTCATTTTTTCTTCATTTTGAAAACAACTTTTACAATAAACTTGATCATTTTTAAATATTAATTTTTTTAGATGATAATAAATATATTTATATTACTATTTGAACAAAGTTTTTTTTCATTTCTGTATTGGATCTACAACTTTTTACAATTAAACATTTTTTACTTAAAAATAATTCAATTAGGTTTGATTTTATTTAATATTAAGATATTCATTTTTTCTTTAATTTTAATCACTTTAGATGTATATTGTAATAGATTTATTCCGTTAAGAGAAAATATTTAAAGGACATAAAAGTAATTCATCAATTTAACATAACCAGCAATCTCACATTCCCTTGATATTAACCAAACACAAGTGGGAATAAATTGAATACATTCCCGTCAATCTAACATACCTAGCAATCTGACATTCACATGGTAATCTGACATTCTTTGAACCAAACATACCCTTACGGATAGAGAGAGTGGGAGATTTACTGGAAGTTTGTGGCTTCTGATTATAATGTAATGGAGGATTAGTTGCAGAGATATGCGGGTTGCTACAGTTGAACTTAAGTGGGAGAAATCAGACATGGAGCAATATATAATTTAAATTTTGTATTAAAATAATGATTTTTTTAAAGGAATAAAAATAATAAAAATAGTAATAATAGGGTCATTATCAGTTTATCACTTCATAATTTCTATGTTTTTTTATCACTTATTTTCAAAAAAAATGTTTTTTTATCACTTCATAATTTCTATGTTGAATAATACTCCATAACTAATAAGTGTCCGTGCCAAAAAAAAACAGAAATTGCTCTAAATAGGAGTAAAGACGTTTCGAAATTCCAAAATAGGAGTATCATGTTTTTTATTCCGTGAATAGGAGTAATCTGCCAAGTTTGGAAAAAATGTCATGTTTAAAGCCTTGTAATTTCCAAACTTGGCAGAAATTTACTCCTATTTAGGGAATAAAAAACATGATACTCCTATTTTGGAATTCCAAAGTGTGACTTCATTGCTCGGTTTCCATAAAAAGACTTATTTTTGTTTTCTCTAATAATTCCTCGTGTTTTAATTAATACTCCGTATGAGTTTTTTCCATGAATATTATTAAATTAAATTGAAAAGACAAGAATATAAGTTATTTTTAATTTTTCCCAAAAAAACATATTTAATGGCTACCTCACAGTGTCTCGTCATTTACAGTGATTTCTCATTCTAAAATAACTATAGTGACTCTTATCCAGTTACTCGTACCCAGAGCTAGTCATATTTTTTTGTCCAAAAATACAACAAGTCATATTTTTGTTCGAGGAAACTCTGTTAGTAATATACATGTCATTTTTTCATAATTAATCGTCTTCTTTTAAATCGTGCAGAATTTATCTATCTATAATCTACGTAGTACGGAGTATAATATATCTATAATTAAAATAAGGTTAGATATATATTTCAAATTGAATGGACCGAAATGGATTATTTTAACTTTTTGTGTAATAGTTTATTGATGTTATTGGAAATACATATTCTAAGAGCACATTTGTTAGAGCATCTCCAATGTGAGCCTGTTGACATTAGGAAAAATCTGCCACATCAGCCATGTCGACATATCTCGCAACATTTTCGTCCCCAGCGCAATATGTCTAAGGCCGTATAAAGTTGACCTGTACAAAAATAACGTCAATATTGTTAAGGTGATTGTCTTCTGATAACAGCCTCCTTGACATGATGACTCAGCGAAAATGGGTGAAGAAATTCCGCAAAAAAATCTCCAAAACGTCTTGAACCAGTGAACCACGACCTATACCTTCAAGTAGTGGGTTTCTTCAACAAATTAATTTCGCGGTTTTCAATGTAGCAGGTTTGTTGGGGAAATGATTTAATTTCTTGCATATGCAGTATATATTTGCTCGTATTTACAAATTTCCTAACTTTGGATTAATTCATTCTTCTCAAAACTAAATTTCACAATCGGATTTTTCTATCTCCGCTGCTTTTAATTCTTTCTTTTTAATAATAATAGCCTGTAATATGGATATTTCGGTGATACATGCGCTTCCCGGCAAAAGAATTGCGTATGAGTTTGGGTTGTTAACCTGAAGCATTGGAGCAGATTTTGGAGTTTCAATGTCTAATTAAATCACTTTCGCATGACATGGATAGACATTCCACTAATTAAGTGCCATGTGTCAAAGTTTACTCCATGTGAAGGATGTAGCATTAAAGATGCTCTTAATCCTCTTTTCAACTTATCAATTTTATCAACCAACTTTTTAATCAAAAGCGTAATTTTTAATTTCGCGCGCTGAATTATATAATAGTCAAAATAAGTAAGGTCAGAGTTAATTTTATGTGTGACTTATTGTAGCGGATCATTTTAGCTATTTTTCATATAATATTTTCTTTATTTTATTGACAAAATATATTTTATAGCTAATTTTCTCATAAATCAGAAGAATCAGTCAATTCAAATACTTCTATCAAAATTTTATAAATTTCAGAAGAATCATCTGATTCGATCATAAGATTTAAACTGTATAAATTACAAGAGATTTTAACTAATTTTAGACACTAGAGTATTAATTGTAGACATTTATCAAACAAGCTTTAAACTTTAGAAAGAACTTTAAAATTAATCAATATCCCCAAAATAGATTATAAATCGACACATCTTGAACTTTTTCTTCTCCTTTAAGTTGCTTCACACGGTCGAACATCAAGATTAATGCGTAAGCAATCTTATGTATTCGGGGTACAATTATGTATCTCCATTCTTTCATCTTTCATTTTAGTTTGTCCCACTAAGATGATCATCTCAATCAAATTTGGTACAATTTATTTGGTTCTAAATCATTCTTATTAATATAATACTAGTATAAACAACATCCAAGTTTTAATTCCAAAAGATTTTGGGGTCGGCCAAAAAACAACACAATCGCCATCTGTGGGAATCAAACCCACGACCACGTGGTTAAAAGCCACGCGCTCTACCAGTTGAGCTAAGATGGCAACTTCATAATAACATAAATTTAATTTTTAATAACCGTGTCACATGCAACTTAATATTAACATAAATTTACTTTTTTTAATAACTGCATCACATTCTCATATTCTAATATTAATGGGAGGGGAGTATTATATGTATACCTTAAGTTTTGTCCTAATATGCACTAACTTAGTGGGGATCCAACATTGCAAGTGTATACTTCTTAAAGAGGTTTGGACTTGCAAAACTTTTTATTTTTTAACATACTTTTGAGATATTATAAATATTTGCTATCACACTTTCTCTAAATATATTACGAAAATAGAATTATTGATTATATGTGACTAAAAGTATTATGAATATGCTTTTATTTTCATTGTGATGTAAAATATGAAGATAATTACAATCACTAAAGTTATTAATTCCTATTTTGTACATTATTCTTGTTTTAATCACATTTTATTTAGATAAAACGTCATTTATATTTATCTAAATCAAGCTCAGCCAGAGTTAAAATGTCCTCTGGTATGTTGCTTACTAAAATCTGTTCAGTCTCATTACTAGGGATTAATCTGGCCATAGCATGAGCTACTACATTTCCCTTTCTTTTGACATGAGAAAATTTAACAACATCAAATTGAGAGCTAATGTGGAGTATATCATCTCGGAAAAGTCCATAAGCAGTATAATCATCCTTCCTTTGCTCTGCTGCTGTAGTGAAGTTTAATGCATCACTTTCCAAGAACATATTCTGAAAGCCCATTTGATTCGCCAAGTGCATATCATACACCCCCGCTGCATACTCTGCCAAACCAGCCTCCCATCTTACTTCAATCTTCTTAACTCCTGCTGCCAGCACTCTCCCATGCTCATCTCGTATAACAGCCCCCAAACCGACTCCACCGTTCTTAAAAGTTGCTACATCACAATTCACTTTTATGAATCATGTAGGAGGTTTGCTCCATTTTTTCATACTTTATTCTGGAGGAGTAGATTGGAGTCATGAAGACCTTTTTAGCATAATTCTGGTAGTCCTCAACATATCGCCGAAAACCTGCATTAATTAGTTCTACTTTTGGCTCGCTTTGCTCAAAGACCACTTTATTTCTACAAGTCCAAATCACCCAACAATTGGTTAAGAAGTCATATAGCTCCTCTCTCATGTTCTCGATCACCCAGTTTAAAAGACCAGAAAATGAAACTAAAGGCGCCTCTTGGAACATATTTGCCCAGGCTTCCTCTTGCCATATTTTTCTAGCAAAAGTACAAGAGAAAAACATATGAAATAAAGTTTCAATCGACTCACGACACACTGAGCAGAAAGGTACCTAAACTATGTGTCGTTTCCATAGTCTTTCTCTGGTTGCCAAGCTCCCTGAGATAGCCCGCCATAGAAAATGTTTCATCTTAG